ACCTACGTCAACTCGAAATTAACCCGCTCATCGTGAACCCTCGATAAGACATCAAGGAAGTTCCATACTAGAAAATAGACTTTATATTGCTTGAAAGTTTGTAAAACGTTTGTATATAAATCATTTTTGTAACAACTATTTGTGATAACTGTTATTGTAAATTGTATTGTTGTTAGTATATTAAAATATATTTGTATTAAAAAAGAAAACTTTGTGTATCAATCTTGTTGGCAAATATCATAAATTGGAGATATATCGGCATTTATTTAACTATTAAATTTAAATTATCATTTATCTCGGTTTCAAACCATTTGAAATTGTAATACGTAACAGTTGGTACTTTACAGCTGGTATGAGGATCATGGAAGCATGGTTGAAAGAAGATAACAGATTCAGGAACTGTTTCTTCAGACTTGAGTGGCCACTCGTAAGCTACTCCAACGTTCAGCATCATGTAAATTACTATAGATTACCAGGCAAAAAAGATAACAGTGAAACAAAAGATAATATATACTTAGAAGGTTTACGGCATTAAATAGTCCAATAACTGTTATTGTAAATTATAATGTTGTTTATATATTAAAACATATTTCTATTGAAAAAGAAACTTTGTTTATCAATCTTGTTGGCAAATATCATACATTGGATACATATCGGTATTTGTTTAACTTCTAAATCGAAATTACAATATAACTCAATTTCAGACTATTTTAAATTATAATATGTAATATATGCATCCAATAACTTTTACTCTTATGTGATGATCTTGACCTTTCAACATCGCGTGGAGTATGTAATGGTTTGCATTGCTCAAAGTGCATATCTTAAACAAATTATTTAAAAGCTAATAATCCTTACTTGAAAAAAAAAAGCACATATATTCGAAAAATGACGAATTTATTAGTGTGAAAAAAGTATTGTAAATTGGTTTGGATATGTAGTTGTCTTTTATCGGGGAAGGAAGTGTTTTAAAAAAAGTGGTTTTGAAATATAGTATATACTGATATGTTAATTCATCAAAAATATGCCTAACGTGAAATAAGTTGTCCGTGACTAATATTTTATTACACCAACTCGTTGTCACAGAATTGTATAAGTAGGTTACAGATTAAAATTCATGATGGGGTAAAGTATAAAGTGAATTTAGAAAACATGTTGACTTGACATTTTAAGCAGTTGTGCTTAAATTTTTGTTGGTACTGGGGGTGGAGGCCCGGTATAGCCAGGTAGTTAGGGAGCTGGACTCGCAACCTGCGGGTCGCGGGTTCGAATCCCCGACCCATCAAACATACTCGCCCCTTTCAGCCATGGGGGCATTAAAATGTGACGGTCAATCCCACTATTCGTTGGTAAAAAGAGTAGCCCAAGAGTTGGCGGTGGGTGGTGATGACTAGTTGCCGTCCATCTAGTCTTACGCTGCTAAATTAGGGACGGCTAGTGCAGATAGCCCTCGTGTTGCTTTGCACGAAATTTAAAAATCAAATCAATTTTGGGTTATACGAGTATAGTAGTTTCTATTTCCAGATCAAGTTTTCTGTCGTTTCTCATTTTCCTTGCTCATAAAAAAATTACCTGCAAATTGAGCGTTATTATATAACAATAGTGATATACATATAAAGACTATTTCCGATTATTTATAGACAAACCTTCTACCGTTAAAATAAAACAAGATTTGTTTTCAATTCAGTATGACGCATTATTATTTGTAACTAAATACGATCGACCTTTCAGCCGTTTTAATGTGACAGTCAATCCAATTATTCGTTCGTAAAAGAGTATCCCAAGTATGTTCATGCTAGTATGACAACGTCTAAACCACAACATGATCATTCATTTTTTTTTCCAGAAGGAAATATGTTTTACCGAATTTGATGTGTTTCAATAAACACAACAGAACATTTAGTATAAGTAGCTAAAATGATTGATTAAAACAGCTTTATTTGTATTTTGTTTTTATAATGAGAGAGCAACGTGAGTAAAGTGCAATCAGAATTCCGAATTCTGAAGTCTAAATAATGTTTGTAAATATTTAAACCAAATATATTAATATCAGTTTTCTTTATTCTGTGTATCACATGTCTTCAGTTTTTATTCAGATGTTGTTTGTTATTAAGCACAAAGCTACACAAAGTTCTGCCCACCACGGGTATCAAAACCCAGTTTCTAGCAGTATAAGTCCGCAGACATACACCACTGTGCAACTGGGGGGAGGCATTTTTATTCAGAGGTAGTTTTAAAAGGTTTGTAAACTGACTCTATTCAACAGGTTTATAAGTAATGAAGTTTAATGATAATCCAGCCTTCAAACTGTAGGAAAGACTGCACGCGAGACTGTTAAAAACAAAACACACACACAACACAATGTTCATTCTTAAAAACACACAAACATTTATTTGAAATCACGAGATCATTCCATTTCTTTTCGTTTCCTATGAGCAAATAGTATGAGAGAACGAAAAAATTTAAATACAGTCTTAAAATAATTTACACTATTTTCAACTATACAGCACAACTCATAATATTAATATAATGTACAACAATCTACAGTTGGAATCGGAACAAGTTACAATCTATCAGCCACATGTTTATAAACAATCTCTGAACAATAACTTAAACGATGTACATACCTATGCAAATGAGTTTTTTGACACTTCACTACATACAAAATACGCCATGATGCATTGAACAGATAATCAAGGGGACATCGACAAATTTCATTTGGTTGTAAATCACAACGCCTCATTGGTTCGGTTTTAGCTTCCATGAAAAAAAAGGATAGTGTTACTTGTTGTTGTTTCCATCTCTATAAATATCTTTTCTCGGTAACATGGCAAAGTGAGTAAGTTGCAAAGTTCCTTGTTTCTTGTTTCCTCGTTCAAGCGTCCCTGTCATGCTGTAACCGAGTCGGAAGTCTGCACTCGACACGTGCGAGGTTAAATACATTTTGAAGTCCGGTTCGTCTTTCCCCTTGAAACGGCCCTTGATACACATTGTCCCGTGACCTAGGTCCGCTAACTTACCGCGCCCTCTGTGCCGAGTCGTACCGCACACTTCAGTGATTTTGCACGTGCTCCGATTCCACCATGGTCGTTTGAGAATCCAGTAAGATGTGGGGGAACTCCTAGCCCATCCTTCGTCAGGGTACAATAAGATTTTATTCGGTGATCCCTCGTGATTCAATATCTTACGGCAGCATTTACCGTGGTGTTCGTAGTAAAACAGTTGAACCATTCCGCTGAGATTAATAGAAATTAGTTTAACTGTAACAATAAGAAAATCGTCATTTGACAGAACGATTACAAAAAGAAGTTCAATTAAAGCAAAGCTTCTAAATTAACATATGTATATAGATTCACATAAAAATGTTATGTGAAACAGCAAGCAGCTATCTGATAGCGTTGAGTACAAAGATTGAACACAATCGTGAATGTACTGGCTGCAGAAATGGTTGAAGCCAAGTTACAACTAAAAAACTGAGTTATTTGAGAAAGTGTCAGTTAAGAAACATTTGCGTTTAGAATTCCTGGCCACATTTGTTCCGACAAACCTAAGTCGGAACTTGGGCGAGTTGGTTGTAGCGGTGGAGTGACAACCAGTTCGCTTGTCGTTTGGCTGCACTTACCGATCGGTTTTGTTACGCGGGTTTGTGAGCAGCGCCACGAGAGTCGACGCGATCAGCGAATTGTTTTGTCACCTCAGAAGGGCTTAATGCTACACATCAGTCAATAGATTACGTGAACAACACGTAATGTAATTCGCCCAGCTCTCTGCTTCAATTGTAGTTTCCAAAATAGGCAAACTGTCAAAGAGAGGGTTGAAACCTCTGCTCCGAATCAAGGCCACGTGATTAAAGCTTTGTCATTAGTGCTGAAAGCACGCGCTAAAGTCAGGGAAATGAGAATGGAACATAACCTATGATATCTTCTTTCACTTGTTCGTGACCTCTATGCTGCAGTAGCTACCGCTTTTCCTTCCTGTGTTAGCCCTGAAAGTAACTGTGAATTCCGTTTGTGTTAGACGTCCATCCTTTCCTCTTCCCCACATACTACCCTTCACACGACTGCAGCTTAATCGACCCTTCACGCAAATGGATATTTATTGTTAAGACTCAACGTACACCTATCCACTCCAAACTACAACAAACCAACAACAGACTTTTTTTTTCTTTTAATTTTCATCTGGTCTCTAGTGCGTGCGTGCCCTTTAGAAGCTGAAGAGTATACGTTAACTCTTCCTACACGTACAGCGATCAATATAGAAACATTTCAAGAACCTGTGAAAATAAAGATGAGCTGATTTAGCAAACCGATCAAAGAAGTCTTAAGCTCCTTACGACATCTGCAAAGTTTAAACATGCTTTCGCCTTTCGTATGCATGCAAATATATATAATGTGTATACGAATGTATATTAGAAATTAATGCCTTTTCATGGTAAATGCATAAAGATCAGTGGTTGCCATAGCAATACATTCGCGTTCTACACTCCGGGAGATCAATCTGATCTTCCGTAGTTTAACAGAATGATTCACTATTTCCGTTAACAAACGTTTTTTTTTTCATTTATTTATTTTTGTGTCTGAAATATAAACTATAGACTCACTTATATAAAGGCTAAGTTATTTTGTTATTAAATTTTAGTCTTACAAATCAGTATGAAGCTGCGATTTCTTGAATAGGACAGAAAGAGCGCTTTGTTTTGCTTGGCTATATATATCTTGAGAAATGAGGACAGAGCAAATGACCGAATACACGTATTCTTCGACATGTAATCAGTAAATCATTACAATAGATAAATATCGTCTTGATCCACACCAAACCTTCAACTCAAATAAACCTAATTTTAACGAGTCATAAAACTGTTAGAACACCGAGTGACGAGAATATCAAGGGTAAGCGTCGTTCATTGAACAAAATAAAATAAACGTAATATCACATACCTTAAGTTGTTTCACAAAATATATTTCTAGAAGACACTGACTTCTTATCTATTGATTAGGCAGCATAATTACACATGCAAACACACATAAAAAATGGAAACGTAACTGGTTCATCTGGGTTTTCCACGAACTTACATGTGGATTCAACTTACATGAAGGCTGGATTCAACAGATATGGAAAACAAATAACAGAAATCAACTGAGAGCCCGCGTTGCTGACAGTGTTACATGTATACATACTCGCCGCCCTATATATTTATCTGTACGTTATCTCTATACAATACAAGTAATTCGATTCAAAATGTAAACAAAATTTTTAATTTTGATGGTTTCCATACACGGCATTTAGGCAAAGAAGTTTCAGTAAAGTCAATTGAAACACTTCTAGCAATAATAAAGTATAGAAGCGGTATAAACTAGTTAATAGTTTCTGACTAACAGTTCCGATAATCATTAAAGTAAGACTGTAATGAACTTACATAATTATATGTTGTCATGCCAATATGTTAAAAGCAGTACCATGTATAGTAAAGCAGAATGGTATACGTTCGAAGTTTAACAGCCATGTATACAGAAATGAAAATAATTGTGATTTATACGGTATTAAATTTATCTTGCACTTAAGAAGCAGTAATAATTAGTTTGATTTCAAAATAATTTTCTCTTTCTCTCTCTCTCTCTCTCTATATATATATATATGTTGTCAGGATGATCTACATGATTACATGATCCCCAGTTTTAGAAACTCAATATTTTGGCCTTTGTGTTCAAGCCCAAGCACAGAAACCGAAGTATCTCCACTTTATAATTCGAGATAGAAACACTTTATAGCCAATTTAATCAGCACGGTCTATTCTACTAAAATTGTGCTTAAAACATGAAAGCACGAGAATATCTTTACAGTTAAAAATCCCCTCAGCATTGAAAGGACTTTCTGAAGGAATTCATGAGAAACCTAAAAAAAATCCATGTAACCAAACTATGCAATTCATCGCCATTCGCTAGAACTAAATATGCACTGTAAAGTTCGAAACATCTTTGAACTGAAGCTATTTGTAAATTGTACCAGATAAATAAATATATTTGAGTATGTGTAAAAAGACTATATTTTGGTGGCTCAAAATATTTGAGTATGTGCTAAAAAGACTATATTTTGGTGGCTCAAAATATTTGAGTATGTGTAAAAAGACTATATTTTGGTGGCTCATTGACAATAAAGGATTATTCAGCTTTCTCATACTAACTTCCACTGGTTGAATTGTTAACATAACTAATATTGTGATGTTTTCCTTAACGGTAGTTTCTGTCCTGATAAAAATACGTTGTAGTAGAAGTTATAGGCATATTTAACACGGACAAAATACAACATATTTCATATTTGTTTGACGTGTTAATGGTAATTTCTGTTCAGATAAAGATACGTATTAGTAGAAGCTAGGATATATTTAACACAGACAAAATACAGGAAATATGACACCCCTATATTAATAGTCAGGTTTAAAAAGAAAAAAGAAAAACCTGAAATTATTCATCTGTCACTGAGCTGTGACATACATAATAAAACACGTTAGATTTTAAATGTAAGTACTGCATATTCAGGTTCAAGTTACCAGTTGTCTCTTTTTTTTCGGTTGAAAGACAAACCTAAGGACATTTTATCAATTAAAGTCTGAGAAGGGGCTGTCACCCGACAATGTCAGTAATTAAAATGTCTAACGATATTTCTTCTCTGACGTCATATCTTCTTCCGAAGAGCTTTTATTTGTTGGCTTAAATGACAAAAATGATTGTATGAAGAAAATAATACTTACTTTTTAAATACTTAGAATACCAAGTGGTTTGTAAGGCATGTCTATTTTATAATTCACATGCTGGTTCCTGCTCGAAAATTTATAAATTAAAATAAATTAATCTAGTTTTATCTATCAAAATTACTACAACATGAGCGTTCATCGGGATATTGTGAGACATGGTCAGATGTCTTTTATATTTGAAAAAATGTCACAGTTTTGAATATATTATCGTGAAAACTTGAACAATAAATTAACGTCAGTCACCAAACACATTGGAAATATTGTTGAACCTTAGTAAAGCTCAATGTTCTAAATTTAGGTTTCGGTTTTCTGTGATATTGCTTCATTTTTCTCTGTCTGCGTTTTAGTTAAGAGCTTCTGATAAAAGAGCATTTACATTCAAAATAATTTCAGACAACATAACTTTAAGAAGAAAATCCTGTAAAACAAGTCGACAAGCAATACTTAATTTTATAAAGCAATAGAACACCAACAACGAAAACAAATCATGACTAGGAACATTGATTCATCGCTGGGCAACATTGCTGTTAACAACTTTCTTGGCTTTAATCATAATAAATTTTCATGATGTATAAACAAGTTAAGATATTTAGGTTAGGCCTAAATCTTATATTAAAGAAACAATACAAGTTAATTTTTATTAGAGTAATTATAATTTTAAAAAAGTATTCGTGAATTATATAAAACACCAAAACCACTTAATATTTAATGTTTGTTTGTTTTTGAATTTCGCGCAAAGCTACACGAGGGCTATCTGCGCTAGCCGTCCCTAATTTAGCAGTGTAAGACTAGAGGGAAGGCAGCTAGTCATCACCACCCACC